CGTAGTGGTAAGGACTGTATTGCATGATACATCTCATAGCTGACTTTGTTGTTTGAGTCCTTCTCCAATTCGTCAGACTGCCCCAAAAAGAAAATTCAGCCATAGCCTTTGGAATTCTTTCCAGTAGCTCTAAGTGCGAGGAAACATGGTGCTCCAGTAGAGGGTTAACTGGCGAACATACGTTTACTTTCGATAAATTCTTGTCAGGCATGCATGTACATTTATATCGCAAGTAACTAAATAGACTAGTGCGGGCTGGTAGAAAAATAATGCTGTTGTCAGCGTAAGTGTGAGGGGGGAGGAATCGGGGTCGAAATACCAATCAGTGCTAGGGGAGACTGGGGGCCGAGACGGGTGATAAGCCGCCGGCTGTTTCGTTAGCGACTTTCGGCCATGGTAACTGCGGCGCCGTTACGAATTTCTTTTGGGCAAACAGGACCAGCCTGCGTAGCCTGATGGTGGCCGTTTCTACCTTAGCCAACAGACGCTGTCCAAGGAATTTTGAATAGCTTGAGGGCACCTTGTAGGCCTCTCTGACATCGACGCGATGGCCTGAGCCTACCAGCTGTGCTAGAATGGAATTGTGCCAATAGACACAGAACACTGTCTGTTTGATATCAAGGCTTTCCGGTTTGTAGCGGTCTGTTGAGATCGGATTTAATTCCGGAGTTTCAACTAGACGATCCCTCTGAAAGGAATGGTTTATTGGCGTGTAGGTGAAGAACGCCAGTGTTGATGTATTAGACTTTAACACTGTCGAAATATTGCATGCAAGAATCAATTTCCCATCTCCTGCGGAAGTCACACAATGATGACTGATTGGTTCTAGCCAGTTGTTTTTCTCAGTCTCGTCGATAAATTAACCGGCTTTTCATTAAGAAGGATTCCAAGACGTTGAAATTTGTACACAGAGCCTAGCCTGAAATCAACACCGAACGCTTCCTTTTTATTAAAAAAAGCCCTGCGCTAAGTCAAAGTACTTTCGAATTTCAGACCAATCAATTATCTCAGTTCCTTGGCGGCCTTTTTGCGCAGACCAAATTGGCCTAGCGTGTACACATAAATGCACTCTTTCGTAACACAGCTTTCAAGTTATGCAACATTTCCTTAGCAAAGCAAACGCGACACGATTCCCCTTTCAAGCAGGAACGAATCTACCGCAGTTTCGTTTCAACTCGAAATAGCAATGTACTTTTGTGATGGTTTTAGTACATTCCACAGTGTCTTATGATAATGCGGTCTCTGAATTCAAGCTCAGTATTTCAGCCTTTCGAAGAGGCTCACTGCTGAAGTTCAGTATCAAGCTACGGAGATCACAAGCACACGAGGGCAAAATAAATAAAAAAGGAGTGTTTATTCAAGCATAATTTATACAAGGTTATATTAACTGCGAGGAGTATAAATAAAATAAAATGCCTTTTCACTAATGAACTGTTGCTCAATCGTTGGTTACATAGAAAATTAAGGACGGTAAAGTCGCCAAGTAATGAAGATAAAAAATGAAAACAAATACATTTGAAAAGAGACAATTTTAATTTGTACAGTCCCCTGTGCATACTCCGAGACCGCAGGAAGACACAACGCATAAATTAATTCTGTACTGCTTTTATATATCTGCGTGATCGCCATTTAGGAAGTCAAATTTGTCAAACAGACGTTTTCAAGCACTACTTTCATC